ACCCAGGTCACCCTGAAGTACCACAGGTGAGGATGGAGGAACACCAGAGGAACCCTCGGGGTGCACGGGGACAGCGCCGGTGGGATCTTCATCCCAGGCTGGGATCATCTCCAGGGGTTGGGATCATCTCCAGGGGTTGGGATCATCTCCAGGGTTGGGATCACCTCCATTGGTTGGGATCATCTCCAGGGTTGGGATCACCTCCATTGGTTGGGATCATCTCCAGGGTTGGGATCATCTCCATGGGTTGGGATCATCTCCAGAGGTTGGGATCATCTCCATGGGTTGGGATCATCTCCATGGGTTGGGATCATCTCCAGGGTTGGGATCATCTCCAGGAGTTTGGGATCATCTCCAGGGGTTGGGATCATCTCCAGGGTTGGGATCATCTCCAGGAGTTTGGGATCATCTCCATGGGTTGGGATCATCTCCAGGGTTGGGATCATCTCCATGGGTTGGGATCATCTCCATGGGTTGGGATCATCTCCAGAGGTTTGAGATCATCTCCAGGGTTGGGATCATCTCCATGGGTTGGGATCATCTCCAGGGTTGGGATCATATCCAGGGGTTGGGATAATCTCCAGAGGTTTGGGATCATCTCCAGGGTTGGGATCATCTCCAGGGTTGGGATCATCTCTATGGGTTGGGATCATCTCCAGGGGTTTGAGATCATCTCCAGGGTTGGGGTCATCTCCAGAGGTTTGGGATCATCTCCATGGGTTGGGATCATCTCCAGGGTTGGGATCATCTCCAGGCTTTGGATCATCTCCAGGGGTTGGGATCATCTCCAGGGTTGGGATCATCTCCATGGGTTGGGATCACCTCCAGGGTTGGGATCATCTCCAGGGTTGGGATCATCTCCAGGGTTGGGATCATCTCCAGGCTTTGGGATCATCTCCATTGGTTGGGATCATCTCCAGGGTTGGGATCATCTCCATGGGTTGGGATCATCTCCAGGAGTTTGGGATCATCTCCATGGGTTGGGATCATCTCCAGGGTTGGGATCATCTCCAGGCTTTGGATCATCTCCAGGGTTGGGATCATCTCCAGGGTTGGGATCATCTCCATGGGTTGGGATCATCTCCAGGG